AATCATCTTCTTCAATTGATAACGGAAGTATTCTCATTGTAGAAAAATCAGAAATTCATATACGCAAACTAAATCACAATCTATTTCAAGTTTTCATATATTTTCATATATTACACATACATGATGTATTCAGTAAATATATACAAAACAGTAATGGCAATGTGCTCTGCTATTTTAGATACTTTTCTAGTCCGATTTCTACATTTTAATGGATGAATAGCATTTTATTATATGAATAGATTTTACAGAACCAAAATTCTGTTACTCAGTTTGTTTCTAAGTTTCACTCAATGCTTGGGGAGGCATTCTTTTAGCTAAATTGTGCGTATTATTTATTCCCTTAGGGTAGTTTTCTGAAAGTAAATTGCTGGACCAAAAATAGGTGCATGTTAAAGCATTTTTCCTTTTCTACATTTTTTTTTTTTTTAGATTTTTTATTTATTTATTTGACAGACAGAGATTACAAGTAGGCAGAGAGGCAGGCAGAGAGAGAGGGGGAAGCAGGCTCCCTGCTGAGCAGAGATCCCCATGTGGGGCTTGATCCCAGGACTCTGAGATCATGACCTGAGCCGAAGGCAGAGGCTTTAACCCACTGAGCCACCCAGGCGCCCCCTTTTCTACATTTTTAAAAATTATAAAAGTAATGCTGATTATGGAGAGGGAAGTTATGGAGGTTTACAGGAAAAAATTAATCTCCTACTTCCTCATATTTGTCTTTAATAGGACAAATTGTTGTGTGTTCTCTACTGGAGTTTGTTTTTCCTTCTTAATGAACGTGAGATTAAATTCCTCTGATTACTTTGTACTTTGCTTTTTTAATTCTCTTTCTTCATACCTCTTGCGGCGAATGTCTCTAGAGTTCTAACTTGCTCATTTATGAGCTGTACAAAACTATGGTCCAACTATTCTCCTATTGAAGAACAGGAACATTGCTTTAAATATTTCTGCTATTATAAACACTGCTGCAATTAACGTTTTGAAATCTTTTGATACATATTTCCAACTTGTTCTCCAGCAGTTACCATTTTTGCATGCCCACCAGCTCTGGGATTGGTTGCTTTTACCAGCACCATTGTGAAGCAGGATTTTTGATCTTGTGCCAATCTAAAAGGCAAAAACTGGTATCTTGTTGTTTTAATTTGCATTTCTTTGATTACTAATTAGGTTGAACTTTCTCATATGTCTATTGGTCAATTTGCATTTCTTCTTTTGTGAAATGCCTGCTTGGGTCTTTTATATACTTTGCCACTGAAGTGTTTTGTTTCTTGATTAAATAGATTATTTACCTGTCGTATGTTGCAGATATTTCCGCCTGGTTGGCTTCTGCTTGTGACATCTATGTATGGTTCTTTAGGTCTCTATAGGTGATGGAATAATTTTTTTCTTTCTTTATTGAAGTATAATTAAGATACTGTTATATTAGTTTCAGGTCTGCATTGAATAATTTTTATGTTAAGTATCTCAGTCTCTGTATGTCTGCCTTTACTGTCACTCTTAGGGCTTTACTAATTTATGGTTATATAAAGTTTTTTCTAATCTAGAAAAACTGGTCCATATTATGAAATAGGGTTCTATTTTTTTCCTTTTCAAAAAATTAACCCATTCTAAATCACTTTTTACTGAATATTTCCCACTGAGCTTAGATGCCACCATTATCACATTAGTGACTTTTTAAATGTATACAAGTTTCTTTGAACAATCATTCTTTTATCTATTCCTAGATGTTTTAATTATTACAGCTTTACAAAATATCAATATCTGATGAGGCATATACTCCCCCCATTACTGTACATTTAAAACATTTCTTCATTGATATAATACGTTTATTCCAAGAAGATTTGCAAATCATTTGATTGGTTTCCTTGCCCCTTACATCAAAGAAAATACCATGGAGATTTTGACTGGAATGCCACTTATAGCATTATAAGTCGTTACTTAATAATGAGAATATGCATGGAAAAAAATGTAATCTCAAAACTTGATAGCTCTTCATTTATTCTGTTCTTTGTTTCTCAGTATGTTTGGAATAGCATTTGGAATAGCAAGTCCAGAATCATTTTGCTGAATTTATTCCTAGGTATAATATGTTAATTGGCAAGGGATCTATCTCTTTATCCCCATTCTGCCTTCTTCCTGGGTATTGAAATATTTGTAACCAGCTTCCTTACTGGGTATTCTTATTAGATCTAGTGATTTAAAATGGATTCTTGTGGATTTTGGAAACATACTGTGATATCATCTGTAAAAGTTATGATTTTAGCCCCCTTCTGCCCCTTTCACCACCAACTTCTTTCATATAGTATTGACCAGATGTCCAGAATTATTGGGAATAATAAGAGTGATAATAAGTATTCCTATACTGGTTCCAGAAATTCTTCTGGTATTTACTATTAAGTTTGATGTTGGTTGTTGGCGTAGTATCTTTAAATTTTCAATTTGCAAGAAGCTTTAAATTAGAATAGTCCTTGAATTGTTTATTGCCAAAGTAAAATACAGGGTAAACAATTCAAATTATAATATAGGTCTTCTAGTGAAAAGAGGACTTTATTTCATCCTTTCCATTTTTTTTTTTTTTTCTTTTCCTCAGTGGTTCTTGGTTTCCTTTCATCCTTCCTTGGAGCACTTACTTATTGTATGTTATTCTATATAAAAAAATTAAATTTGCGTAAGAGACAATGTCATAATCAATATTATGAGATTAGCCTGGAAGGAGCACCTTTGACAAGCCTGCTTCCTTTCATCCTTGAAGGTAGTGGGAAGATGTAAGATCTCCTTGTCCTTCCCAGATGTTGTAGAGACCCTGGCCGTATATCTCTGGCTGACAGTAGAAGTTACCCAACACAGACTTGAAGCCTGAACTTTCTAAGAAAATGATAGGCCCAACAAATTGACTTAGGGTTCATCTTATCCCACCACCATAAATACTGAGAAAAGGGCTTGTTTCTTTTTCCATGCTTTGTGTGCTTTATGAACAATCGGATGTAATTTGCAGAATGGTTGGGAGAGACGCACTCAGAATACAGGGAAGCAACTTCCCAAAGCACCTGAAAGTCCTTGCTCCACTGGACAATGCCAGTGGAGTCTGTGAAGGATGAAGGAAGCTGAGGGAGGGCCTTGTGCGGCTGCTGGGTGCTGCTGTTATCTCTGCTGCTGCTTCTATTGACTTTTTTCCTCTGGGTCATTTTTTTTCCTGCTTTCTTAAATGCACTGTGATTTTTTTTTTTTTTTTTTTAAGATATATTTGAGCGCAGGTGCAAGTGCAAGTGGGAGGGGGCAGAGGGAGAGAATCAGCAAGCAGACTCCCTGCTGAGCGCAGAACCTGACGTGGGGCTCAGTCTCATGACCCATGAGATCATGACCTGAGCTCAAACAGCCGGATGCTGAACTGACTGAGCCATGCAGACGCCCCATGCGTGCAGTGGGATTTTTTAAAAAATTATTTTATTTATTTGAGAGAGAGAGAGAGCGAGCGAGCATGAGCTGGGGGTTGGGGGGTGAGGGGATAGAGGAGAGGGTGAAGCAGATTCCCACTGAGCAGAGAGCTCCATGTGGGGCTGGATCCCAGGACCCTGAGATCATGACCTGAGCCAAAGGCAGAGGCTTTAACCCACTGAGCCACCAAGGCGCCCCTGCTTTTTTGATTGAGTGATCTTTGATCAAATGAAAGAGATTGTGGATTTTGCTGTGTAAAGTTGGTGGTTATTTTTATATGCCTATAAATCATCTTGAGCTTTATTCTAGGATGTAGTTAAGTTACTCAGAAACAATTTAATCCTCTGAGGTTTTCTTTTAAACTTTGTTAGGCGGAATCAGAGCGACCTTTAGTTAGCTCACTAAGGAGGCCATACTCTCCCAAGTCCTCTCCTCAGTGGCTCACAAATTTCCATATTCTTCCGCTTAGGCAGATGGGAGTGCCCGTGTGATCTTTGAGCGTTGTTTTCTCTAATCCTTAGGGTAGTTCTCTCTCCGTGGCTTCTCACATATGTCATATATACTCAGCTGAAGATTCAAGGAGGACCTCTGCAGAATTCACTTTCCTACAACTTTCTCCTCTCCAGTGACTGACTTAGTGAACTTAGTCATTGTGGCTTTCCTGGTCTCTTCATTCCTGCTTCACCCATGAAGACAACCACACTCCACCAAGGGCTCTCAACTTACATGGAGGCCTGGCAACGGTCTCCAGGCAGTAGCCTGGGGCAGTCCTGTGGCTCCTGTGTTTGCCCTCTCTCAGGGACCACTGGCCTGGACTACTTCCATGTTTCGGGTATCCTGCACACCCTTTTAGTTACTTCAGGCAGAAAGTGATTCTGTGTTGGCCAGGGTGGAAATTTTAGAAGTATTCTTTGAAAGTATAAAACACTCCTTCTTTGAGAGTCTGTTAAAATGGTCTTTTGCTACAAAACATGTTTTCTGACCTGTGATTAAATATAGCCAGTAAAATTTCATGGCACTCTAAAATACAGTCTGACTGTGGTAATATTCAGGTGGGTCGATCTTTCTAGACTGGCAGGGATTCACAGTGTTTCATACAGGAATTTTACTCTGCTTCCTTTTTACATGTTTTACTTTACCTGGAATGTGTTTATCCTTTTGCTTACACTTTGCCTTTTGTAATTCTTATAAACTCACTTCTGTTAGTGAATTCTCTTTTTCCCATTATTTTTCCTGTCCTTATGAGGGCCAAGGAGTCTCTTGCATAATGCTAATTTTCTATTATTGAAGTGTTGCTTTAAGTTCTTGAAATTCTTCTATTGAATATCTTCAGGTTTTGAGTGGGCTGGGCCTTGTGTAACAGGGACTCAATGCCGTTTTTCCCTTTTTTTATTCTTGGGAAAATAGACCCAATTTTTCTTCTTTTCCCTCCCCAGCTCACATAGGGATTGACATAAAACATGATCAGTAAAATTAGACATGATAAAGATTTTGTGGATTTTCTCTTCTTGTTATTCATACATAGAAGATATGGATACAATGGTTTTGATTGGAATTTTTTTTTTCAGGTGACTCCAAATATGATCAATGTAAAGAAGAATTTATTGAAGTCAAGGACATATTCTCTGTCAAACTGAAAAGACGTTATTCTGCTAAGCAGCAGGGAAATGGTACTTTACTAGGTATCACACTCTTCATTTGCTTGAAAAAGGAACAAAATAAACTAAAAGAGTCTACACTTGATCTTATTAATTTAAGTGAAGACCACTGTGATGTATGGTTTAAACAATTCAAGAAAATTTTGGCAGGTAAGTACTCCTCATGGGGAATTTTTAATGAGTCTAGTTTACTTGCTATAGGTTATTAATCTGAACCTGATACTGTATTTGTGAGTACAGCAGTCCTTGATTATGTGAAGATAGTTTGTTTTTTTTCCTAGTTAAAACACTCAGGTTTTTATCATGAAAATTGAATTTTGTTATCTACTTTTTCTATATCAATTGTAATGATCATGGTTTTTTTCCCCCTTCATTCTGTTGATGTGGTGTATTACATTGATTTTGGTATGTTGAGCCATCCTTGCATTCCAGATATAAATCCCACTTGGTCATAGTATATAATCCTTTTAATATGTTACTGAACTTGGTTTGTTGGTATTTTGTTGAGGGTTTTTATATCAATATTCATAAGTGATATTGGTGTATAGTTTTGTTTCTGTTTTTTTTTTTTTTTTTACTTGTATCTTTTATCTGGGTTTTGGTGTCTGGGTAGTGCTAGTTTTATAGAATGAGTTGGGCAGTAACTCTCTTGAATGATCACTTCCATGAAGAGGCTATAATAATCTGAAATAGTAGTTCTTAAGTAATTTAGTTCAGTTGAATTGTTTTTGAAACTGTATTTTTCTATTCCTGTCTCTTGAACTTCTATTAGAATTATTTTCTTTCCATATATGTACTGATGGCAAGTGCATATATGAATAGGATGACTTGAGGATAATAGTTTGTCTTTATAAGGGTTGATTTTTCTAAAAGTTAAACTCCAGAGGACAGAGAATATATGTACTAAAATATTATCTCATAATGAATTTAGTGTTTCTGAAATTTCTAAATGGCATTTGTATTTTATATGCTAAATAAAATGCATGAGTAGACATATGCAATTTAGATTTCTAGAACATATCTAGTAAAATATAATCAAATTGAGTTTTAAGATTGATTTTTTTTTTCCTCCTACACTTGTAAATCTTTTTTTCCTTTTCAGCCTATTTCTTTCTCTTTGCCAGCTGGATCAGACAGAGTAGAGGCAGCTGATGTAGTTGATGGTACAGTTTGGTTTAAGGTGACAAAGGGCAGAGAGAAGTGCCAGAGGTAGAGTAGCCACATGGTGATGTTAGAAAGTTGCAGGCCAGGCATCATTGATCAAGAAGACCAAGGACCCAAGTTGACCAAAGGCAACCAACTGACAAGGTTATGCCCATAAACAAGGAGCTGAAGTGACATATTAAAACTAGGAGACCCTGTTACTAAGTTTCCCATGCTTCCTTGTTAGTGCCCTTGGGACTTTCAAGGAGAGCTGATCCTTTCAAGAAGGCAGGAAAACCGCCTGGGTGGCTCAGTAGGTTAAGCTGCTGCTTTCGGCTCAGTTCATGATCACAGGGTCCTGGGATCGAGTCCTGCACCGGGATCTCTGCTCAGCAGGGAGCCTGCTTCCCCCTTTCTCTCTGCCTCCCTCTCTGCCTACTTGTGATCTCTCCTGTCAAATAAATAAAATGTTAAAAAAAAAAAAAAGACAGGAAAACGACAGTGGGCATAGTAGAGTTCATGTCTCTGGAAACATGGTGAATATATATATATATATATATATATATATTTTTTTTTTTTTTTTTTTAACTAAAAGCATTCCACTTTAACAGTGGGTCTTTTACAGGGTTTTATTTTAAATTTATGTGAGAAGAGATTCTAAAAAGTTGAAGTAAAATAAAAAAAAATTAGTAAGTTCAGTTGAATTAAATTGCTTTGGGCAGGTACTCATGTTACTCATGTTCTATAAAATAAGAAAGCCATCGGATTGGGAGAGGCAAAGCTCTTCCTTTCACTGAGGGCTTGAGAACATTTTCTCCCATGGGGCTTATGAAGGGCTGGCGCAGTGACTGAAGAGGCAACTTGCTTGCATCTATCTCACCCATAAAATCAATAATAAGTAAGCAGAGGACATCATAACAAAGCTCAATTTAGTAAAAGCAATTTTATGAGCGTACTGGGGCTTATCTAAAGAAAACAGACCACATGTACACAAAACAAAAAACACTGCCCAGATATTTTTCCAGCTTAATGAATGATTTGGTTTGGTCTAGGATCAAATCTAGAAAAATTACAGAGATGGATAAATTTATGTATCTTTTAGGATGTAATCTTCAGGGAGTGTTACTTGGTGTAACTTTGATAAGAGTTGGAAGAAAAAGCTAAAAAAAAATTAGAACAAAACCCAGTTTTGATACGAGTTGGAGATTATAAAATGTATGAGGTCATATTCTCTGGCAAGTTTCCTGCAGAAGAGTGATTTTGCTGATTCAGACAAATAGACTGACAGTTCAAATCAACCAATGTGAACAACTAAAACAGGGTTGAAATCGTCAATTAGAATGAAGGAACTTAACCATGATGGTCTGAATGAATGACTTTGCCCCCAAGTAGCCTTAGAAGTCTTATAGGAGTAGCCAATTCCTCCTCATCTCCATGCCCCTCAGAGACAGTCCTGTGTTGATTTCATGATATATGAATTGTAACAATATGTAAACAATATGTAAACAAATGAATGTTTACAGCTCCAAATCTCTACCAAACTTTATATTATATCAACATTTCCTTTTAAGGTTGCAGTTTTAGAAAATTTTTCTTGTTATTATTTTTTACTTGCACATCTATGTAAAGCACGTGTTCATTAAAGTGCCTGTCAACTGAGAGGTCAGCATGATTGGTTCAGGCCTCAGTCCAGAAGTGCATGTGTCTTTCTTGAGGGAAATAGGGTGATTATCTTCCAGCTCTGATTTGCAGAGTTGGGTCTATCTGTGGATTTTCTTCCTGTCTCATATTTCACTGTCCCTGTTCTATGCTATACTGTACTGATCCGGACTGGCTGATGGTGATTACTGATTTCCATTTTTTTTAAATCCCTACGTAAGGAATTTGTGTTTGTACCAGACTTGAGTGAATTTTAGGGCAAGGGTAGATGAGGGTAATACATACAAATGTACATCATAAAAATATAGATGACTTATGTTTGATTGTTAGACATCACTATTTTAAGTCCCTAAACCTTGCTTTTAACTGGTTCTGTGGCAAAACCAGATTAAAAAATATATATTTTTGAATGGGTTCATTTTGAATGAATGTCTTCAATCAAGAACTGGAGTTTTCTTCCTGCCAGTCTTCTACATCTTCCCCAGTCCCCCCTTTTTTAATTCTGTGAAGATAAATGTGAAGAAAACATTAAAAGCCTCAGCTGGTTTTTCCTTTAGTCTAATTCATCTTACAGTTAGAATTATAGTATATTTAGACACTAAGAATTACTTTCAAATATGCATACTTATATTTTGAGCTGGAGCAATGAATAAGATTTGATGAATTTTTGAGGAAAGAATTGGGCAACACTAGAAAGAGGAAAAAGCCAACTCCCAAATACTTGAAGTTTTAAGACATAGATAAAAAGTGACCAGATTAAAGTTTGTATTTATATTTGCATTTATAAGAAGGGAGTCTTAAAATGCTTTCAATTTTTGTTTGAAAATAAGTCCTTCTACTTTTCAGGTTTTTGTTTTTTTTTTTTAAACACAGTTGAACACAGTATCTTTTTAAATTTTTAGTAATAGAAAAGTCACCATAACTTTATTGGCTAACAGACAATATTAGGTTTATTCATCCAACACATGTTTTATATCAGGCCCTGTGTTAATTTCTGAGAATACAGAAATAAATGAGATGTATGCTTGTGTGGAGCACTCTTGCTCTGGGAGACAGAGAAGAAAATATGTATTATAAATGTATTAAGGGCCACAAAGGAAATATAAACAGACCAATAGGGAGCATAAACATTGATCATTGATTCAGAAATTAAAAATCTTTAAAAAATGCAGTTGAATAAGGCTGGTATATAGTCGCTGATAAGCCTCGTATATAGTTACTGTGGTGAAAGTAATTTAATAGTATTTTTTATACCTGTGATACAAAGATAAACATGCACAACCTTTAAATACAGCATGTGGGTACACCGGACATGTTAATTTTTATTCAATTAGGGTGTGACCCAGTCTCTGCATATTTGGGTTTCCTAGAAATGGTGAATTGCAAGCTTCTCTGGACCCAGAGCAAACCTCTTCTTTAGAAACCATAACATATATTTTAAAGCATATTCATAGGCTTTTTTCCCCCTTTTTTTTGTGGGGTGGGGAGTGTGGGGAGAGAGAAAAGGGACAGAGGGAATCTTAAGTTAATTAAGTTAATTAAGAGAATCCTAAATATGCTCCATGCCCAGCACAGAGTCTAATGCTGGGCTGGATCCCATGATCCTGAGATCATGACCTGAGCCAAAATTAAGCATCGGCCACTTAACTGACTGAGCCACCCACGCGCCCCCATATTCAGAGGCTTTCTGACAGATACCCTACAGAAGAGAATAAAACAAAGTACCCCTCAGGTGATGTTCAGGGCCACTCAGACCTGGACGAGTTTACAGGAATGAACTGATTGATCTCCAGTGGAGGACTTAGCAGAAGGTTGAAGACGTGAGGACAAAGATGAAAAAAAAAAAATTCTTAAGTCTCATGCCCAGGTAACTTGGAGAAGGTAATGTCCGAAAGAGACAACGATGATTTCAGAAGACTGGTTGATTTGAAGGAAAGATGTTCTGTTCAAGACACATTTGGAATATATTACAGTGTCCTCTTGGAGATGTTTAGTATGCTGGTGTTTTGAGAGAAAAACGTGAGGAGGTAGAGTTGATGTGATGGGCATGATGAAAGCTTGTAAAAAAGTAATAAGGAGTTAAAAAAAAAAAAGCAGAGGGCTAAATACAGAATCTTGGGTGATACTCATATATTAAAATAGAGAAAGGGTGCCTGGGTGGCTCAGTTGGTTAAGCATCTGACTCTTGAGTTTGGCTTAGGTCATGATCTCAGAGTCTTGAGATGAGCCTCTAGTTGGGCTCCAAGCTAGATGTGGATCCTGCTTAAGATTCTCTTGTTCCCTCTGCCACCCCTCCTCCCCCCACCTCCACTGGCTCATGCATGCTCTCTCTCTCTTAAAAAAAAGGG